TTTTTGGTGCTAGTGGAATTGTGAAAAAATAACCTTTCAAATCAATGACCCTAGGCCAGGCTTTAGGAATCACTGTTGGAGATGGCAACCCTGGTTGTAGGGCACCCATAGGTTGGATAACAGCATTAACTGCCCTTAAATCAGTTAACATGTGCCATTTTCCAGATTCTTTCTGAAAGACAAAAACAGGAGAATTTCAAGGAGAAAATGATGGCTCAATATGTCCCTTTTTAAGTTGTTACTTCGTTAAGAAATGTAATGCCTCCAACGTTATTTTTGTAAGCGACCACCGATCTACTCAAACAGGTGTTTTAGTTTTCCATTTTAATGGAATTGGATTGGGAGGCTTAACAGTTGCCCCTAAAAAGGGTACCCCAATCGTGAATGATCAGATTTTTTTGGAGGCTTCTATTGGCTTTTTGATGCCATCCTCCTTTCCTAGTCCTTTCCCCTGAATATAGCTGTATTTTTGCTATCATTTGCTTACTTTGCAAGCTATACTGTGCAGGGGGAAATGAAATTTCTGTTTCCCATTTTTGTAACAAGTCCCTACCCTGTAAATTGAGTGGAAGAAGGATAATCATAGGCTTAATTATTCCTGTCTGTCCTTCTGGTCCCATACAATGCACAATTAATGAACTTTCTTTTTCTTTTTTTCTTGAGACAGAGTATCACTACCAGAGTGATGCCCTTGGTAGAATGCAGTGGCGTCACAGCTCATAGCAACTTCAAACCCTTAGGCTTAAGAGTCTTTTGCCTCAGCCTCCCAAGTAGCTGGGACTGCAGGCACCTGTCACAGCGCCTGGCTATTTGGTTGTAGTTGTCATTATGTGTGGCAGGCCCAGGCTGGGTTCCAACTCGCCAGCTCTGGTGTATGTGGCTGGTACCCTAGCTGCTGAGCTACAGGTGCCAAGCCATGAACTTTCATAAACATCTGTTGCTAGGTCCACTCTAAAAAGTCCTGATACAGTTTGCGTTTAGGCCAAGGTTTAGGTCATTGTTCTGATGCTATGATGGAAACATCTGGTCCTGTTAAACCATTTCCTGTAAATCTTTCCCTTGAACTGTAACTGCACAGATGGGTTGTTTGTCTGTGATTCTACTCACCCAAGAGCTAGCGTTCCCTTCCTGATCTATACTTCCCAAACCTCTCTTTTTTTTTTAGAGACAGAGCCTCAAACTGTAGCCCTGGGTAGAGTGCTGTGGCATCACAGCTCACAGCAACCTCCAATTCCTGGGCTCAAGTGATTCTCCCGCCTCCACCTCTCAAGTAGCTGGGACCACAGGGCGCCTGCCACAACGCCTGGCTATTTTTTGGTTGCAGCCGTCATTGTTTGGCGGGCCGGCACTGGATTCGAACCTGCCAGCTCTGGTATATGTGGCTGTCACCTTAGCTGCTTGAGTCACCTCTTTTAATTGAACTTTGTCCCACTTTAACATATGGTAACAATAAAAGTTGACCAATGTGATCCCCAGCCTGAACCCTTCAGGGGATGTGAGTGAATTATGATTTGAATTTCCCCTTGATAGACAGAATCAATTACCCCAGTATGTGCTTTTACTCCATTTAAATTTAAACTTGATCTCCCCCAAAGAAGTCCCACTGTCCATTCAGGGAGAGCCCATAAACTCCTGTAGAAAGCTTAATGGGCTCTTCCTCAGGAAGCAGAGAAATATTCTGAGAGCTGCATGAATTTGCTGCTGCACTCCCTGCTGTGGCAGGGGACAGTTGTACTGCTGTGTGGGGTTTGAAGGCTGAGTTACTGCTGAAGAGAAAGTCATTATTGGAGTGGCTGGCTATGCTGTTTGACAGACAAACTGTTGGATGGGAAACACTCCATTCTGGGTCAGGCCCCCTTCCAGTTTCCCTGCGTTAGAGGTAATGGATTTCCTTCCTTATCATTTGAATGGCACTGGTTCTTCCAATGGTTTCCTTTCCTACACGGAGTGTTGGGAACCAGCCCCAAATGACACCGTGAGTTCTTTCCCAGGGCTCAGAGGTGATGAAAGAATACAAGAAATTTTTTTTTTTTTTTGAGACAGGAGCCTCAAGCTGTCCCGTGGGTAGAATGCTATGGCATCTCAGCTCACAGCAACCTCCAACTCCTGGGCTCAAGCGAGTCTCCTGCCTCAGCCTCCCAAGTAGCTGGGACCACAGGCGCCCGCCACAGCGCCCGGCTATTTTTTGGTTGCAGCCATCATTGTTGTTTGGTGGGCCCGGGCTGGGGATTCGAACCCGCCACCTTGGGTGTACATGGCTGGTGCCTTAGCCACTTGAGCCACAGGCACTGAGCCAGAATACAAGAAATTAAGGACTCAGAAATATAGAATGAAACCTTTATTTATTTATTTATTTTTGAGGCATCCCAAGGAGTTAATCAAAGAATGAGTTGGGTTTTTTGTGTGGTTTTTTTTTTTTTTTTTTTTTTTGCAGTTTTTGGCCAGGGCTGGGTTTGAACCCGCCACCTCCGGCATTTGTGGCTGGCGCCCTACTCCTTTGAGCCACAGGCACTGCCCAGAATGAAAGTTTTAGAGTGGGCCTGGGCGACCTTCACCGTCTAGAGTGAGGACAAGATGAAGGTCCTTAACTCATGTTCACTCAGCCTTTATTACAATATTTTCAATTAATCACCAATTCAATTAAAACTAACCCCATATATCATTGTTCCGCTTTACTGCATGTTTCCTACCACACTACTTCCTAAGTTCCTTAACCTATACTTAATCATTCACATACTATTACTCTTTTGTTCTTTACTACCTTAAAATCAATCAAACAAGAAGAAAGTCCAGAAGCAGGATGTTAAGGCCAACCCCCATCAAACCCAACAGGTAAATTCCTAGAGAGGTTTTGAGTTCTCCTGGAAACTTGTGGGCAGACAGGCTGATACACTTATTTCCCCAAGAGGCCATTTCTCTCTCTCTCTCTCTCTCTTTTTATATAGTCTTATTTTGTCACCCTCGGTAGAGTGCATTCTACTGTGGAGTCAGCTCTTGAGCTCAAGTCATCTCTTGCCTCAGCCTCCCAAGTAGCTGGGACTACAGGCACCCACCACAGTGCCCTGCCATTTTTAGGGACTCTTGCTCAGGCAGGTCTCTAACTCCTGTGCTCAGGCAATCCACCTGCCTTGGCCTCCTGGAGTGCTAGGATTATAGGCATGAGCCACTGTGCCCAGCCTTGAGATGTTTTTAGAGGAAATTGTTTATTGGTGTGTCCCATTTGTCCACATCCAAAACATTTTCCTGGAAAATTAGGTACAGAACTACCCATTCTAATCGCTGCCATCACTTGAGCCATTAACATAGCTGTATGCATAATTCCTTACCCCCTCACATGCCTTGATGTAACTAGTGAGAACATCTCTTTCTGGAGGAATTTTTCCTTTAATAGGACGAATGGCAGCTCAGCATTCAGGATTTGCCTTTTCATATGCTTTTAATTCTTTTTTTTTTTTTTTTTTGAGACAGAGCCTCAAGCTATCCCCCTGGGTAGAGTGCCATGGCATTACAGCTCACAGCAACCTCCAACTCCTGGGCTCAAGCGAGTCTCCTGCCTCCACCTCCCAAGTAGCTGGGACCACAGGCGCCCGCCACAACGCCTGGCTATTTTTTGGTTGCAGCCATCATTGTTGTTTGGCGGGTCCGGGCTGGGGATTTGAACCCGCCACCTTAGGTATACGTGGCTGGCGCCTTAGCCGGTTGAGCTATAGGTGCCGAGCCCATATGCTGTTAATTCAATGATAATTCTTCAGGCATCTGCACCTGGTATAGATTTTTCAACTGCATCTTGTAGACAAGCAATGAAGTCTTGATAAGGTTCATTAGGTCTTTGACAGACTGCCCAAAAAGAGGGACACGGAGTTTCCTCTGGAATCTTACTCCATGCTTCAAGGCAGCAGTTTCTGAGTTGTTCAATGGCCTCATTATTCAAAAGCATCTGTTGGCTCCGCACCTGTAGCTCAAGGCTAAGGCGCCAGCCACATACATCTGAGCTGGTGGGTTTGAATCCAGCCCAGACCCTCCAAACAACAATGACAGCTGAAACCAAAAAATAGTTGGGCATTGTGGCAGGCGCCTATAGTCCTAGGTACATGGGAGGCGGAGGCAAGAGAACCTCTTAAGCCCAGGAGTTGGAGGTTGCTGTGAGCTGTGATGCCATGGCACTCTACCCAGGGTGACAGCCTGAGGGTCTGTCTTAAACCAAACAAAAAAACAAAAAGACAATGAAACCAAAAGCATCTGTTGTTGAGTTCCAGCCCAATTCCCTGTGTCTACCAGCTGATCAGCATCAATATTTATATTAGCTTGTCAATTCAGCCTTACCCTTTCTTTCTTTTGTTTTTTTTTTTGGAGTTTTTGGCCGGGGCTGGGTTTGAACCTGCCACCTCCACCATATGGGTCCGGAGCCCCCTATTCCTTTGAGCCACAGGCGCTGCCCAGCCTCACCCTTTCATTTACGACACTGACCCACTAATTTGTAAATATTGTGATTCACTGAGAGTTACCTTAGCAAGAATTACCCAATCAAATGGAACCAATCTTGTATTCTTCACAATAGATTGCAGAATATTTTAAGCAAAAGGAGAATTTGGTCCATACTGTTGCACAGCTCCCTTTAAAATTTTCAGAAGTTGGCTCGGTGCCTGTGGCTCAATTGCCTAGGGCACCAGCCACATATAGGTTCGAATCCAGCCCGGGCCTGCCAAAACAACAACGATGGCTGCACCCAAAAAATAGCTGGACATTGTGGCAGGTGCCTGTGGTCCCAGCTACTTGGCAGGAGACTCGCTTGAGCCCAGGAGTTGGAGGTTGCTGTGAGCTGTGATGCCACAGCACTCTACCCAGAGGGACAGCCTGAGGCTCTGTCTCAAAAAAAAAAAAAATTTTTTTTTTTTCAGTAGTTCAGGGGCAGCGCCTGTGGCTGAAAAGAGTAAGGTGCTGGCCACATATGCCGGAGGTGGTAGGTTCAAACCCAGCCCTAGCCAAAAACTCCAAAAAAAAAATTTTTTTTTTCCCAGAAATTTAAATGGAAAACTTTCCTGCTCACCTGCCTGCTGTCTCACCTGATTGTCTTATCTGAAGAATTACAGGAGCCTGCCACGCATCCAAATCCCCTCTGGCCCTAGCCTGTGCTACTGCTCTACTTAATAATGTCCCTTGATAGCTGGGGAATGTAGATGTTAATGGGCCACTAGCTGGCACCAAAGGTCTATTCATTGTAGTAACAGGTTACTGGTGGGACCTGCAAGCCCTGTACCCTGTGCCCTGAGTTCTGCAACTAAGGGAGCTGGTGGAGGACAATGGTATGGTGAGGATACTAATGGCTGAGACGGCTGTGGTGTTGGCACAGGATTCTGAGACTGCGATGGCAGAACAGCTGCCTGAACTGTAACTGGAGGTGTCTGTACAGGGATTGGAGGAGGAGCAACTGAAAATGAAACTGGTGTAGACGTGGTGCGTCTCTGCTCCAGATTTACTCGAGTCTGCCCTGATGGCTCCCCTTGATGGCTCCCCCTGAGCCCGTGATGCTGTAAAAGAAGACAAAGTGACAATTTCTGTTAACTGTTCTGTGTCCTCCTTAGAAATATGACTCACAAACAAAAAATCAAAAACAAAAACAATAACAAAAAAGAAAAATGACTCACATTATCATTTATTAGTGCAGCAGCACTCATCTTTTTTTTTTTTTTTTGTAGAGACAGAGTCTCACTTTTTTGCCCTTGGTAGAGTGCAGCAGAGTCACTCCAGCAACCTCCAACTCCTGGGCTTAGGCGATTCTTCTGCCTCAGCCTCCCAAGTAGCTGGGACTACAGGCGCCTGCTACAACACCCGGCTATTTTTTGTTGCAGTTTGGCCGGGGTTGGGTTTGAACCCACCACCCTTGGTATATGGGGCCGGCGCCTTACTCACTGAGCCACAGGCGCCTCCCAGCACTTCATCTTTTTTTTTTTTTTGAGACGGAGCCTCAAGCTATCCCCCTGGGTAGAGTGCCATGGCATTACAGCTCACAGCAACCTCCAACTCCTGGGCTCAAGCGAGTCTCCTGCCTCCGCCTCCCAAGTAGCTGGGACCACAGGCGCCTGCCACAACGCCTGGCTATTTTTTGGTTGCAGCTGTCATTGTTGTTTGGCGGGTCCGGGCTGGGGATTCGAACCCATCACCTTAGGTGTACGTGGCTGGCGCCTTAGCTGGTTGAGCTATAGGCGCCGAGCCGCACTCTCATCTTGATACAAACCAATCTTGTTGCTGTTTACCCTCTAAGGGTGCAGCTGGCCCTTCTTCAGTGGGGGTCTAGACTGCCTCTAAAACTGTATGGACTGTAGAGCACACTGACCATGCAATGATTGGTATGGGTTGTCCTTTTCTCTGTGCTTCTTTAAACGTTCCAAATCTGCTAACTCTAGAGTGCCTTCTTTTGGGAACCATGGACAATACCTGCCCACTATTTCAAAAAGAGTAATTACCAGCCCAGGCCAGCTAAAATCAACAATGACAACTGCAACAAAAAAATGGCCGGGCGTTGTGGGAGGCGCCTATAGTCCCAGCTACTTGGGAGCCTGAGGCAGGAGAATTGCTTGGACCCAGGAGTTTGAGGTTGCTGTGAGCTATGGTAGCACAGCACTCTATTGAGGGCGACATAGTGAGACTCTGTCTCCAAAAAAAGGAAGGAAAAAAAAAAGAATAATTAAAATTTCTGCACTGACCTAATTCCTTGTTTGTAAAATAATCCTGAGGAAATTAAGATACTTAGAATATTTAATATTCGCTTGTCCCATGGTTACCCTAGATTCCTCTGAACACACAAGCTCACCGCTCTGCTTTAGAAGATGTTTTCGGGAGTCACTTGTCCTCAAAACCTTGCGAGAATTCACATGCTCTGGCATTGCTTCACTAAGGCAAAGGGAAACCAGGTGGGGTACCAAATGCAGGACTCCAGCCTCCACACGGCTTGTGGGTATCCCTGATGCTTGGCGGTGACAAGAGAATTAAGAAATAAAAGCAATGGAGACAGAGTAAGATTTAAAAAGATTGGGGCTAAGGTACTAATGCCACTTAAAGTGAGAGACAGTGAAGGCCCCGTTTACCGTATTTATTGTATATGTTATCATTTAAATCAATCACATGAATAATCACAAAAGGAACAAAACCTTTTTTATCCTGTTATTCTTTTGGCATTTGCAATTTCAACTAAGCTGCCAACTTTCCTGATCCTTGCTATTTCATTCTGCTGTAATTGTAAACTAAAAGAATGGAGGAATGCAGTTGTACGAGGAGCCAGGTTTTGAAGCAGGATGTGAAAGCAGTGACAGGTTTGACAGGGCACACAGATTCCACAGGAGGGGCTTAGAGCTTTGGATCCCCACAGGGCAGATAGGCTAATGCCACACCCATAGCGTGAGCGGGGGTGGGGGGTGAGGGGGGGTGGGGGGTGTGTGTGTGGGGTGTGTGTGTGTGTGTGTGTGTGTGTGTTTGTTTTCCCTTATATAAACCCAAGAGGCTTTTCCCCTTATCTAAGAGCCAGCTGTGCACACTGTCCCCAATGCATGTTGTAGCAGCCCATTAACCTGCAGAGACCTGGTACAGTCTCTGTAGGACAAGGTCAGGCCTCAGTAGGACATTTTTGTCGTTTACTCTAAAGCCTTGGCTGTTGTTTTCAACAAACTTTTAGAGGCTTCCGATATGCATTGGGGTCTCCCTTTGGACATACTTTCCCCAAATGTTCCTTTCTCCATTAGCCACTTGTCCTTTGCCTCGCAATCCACCTTTAATTATTCCATAAATCCCTTAATAAAAGTAAATCAAGGCAAAAACTTAATCTTATCAGCATATGCTTCCCAGCCCCAGCCTTACAGCTTTCCGCCCCCAATCCCCAGAGCCCTAGGCGAGTCTATACTCACCCTGCTGCCCAGCTGATGGTCTCTTGGTGGTCGCCAAAGCATGTTGCTGGACCAGTGGGTCCATCTGCCTGTCATGCATGCCAAACAACAGAGAAGCAGATGAGAGACCAACACCTTTGCTTTATTTATAGAAAAGGCAGCAATTCCAGAGAGCAGCAAGGGTATCTCATCAAAGAGCTGCTCTCATCTCCTGTTTTCCTTTGTCAGTGTTATACATTTACAGCTGGGGCCAAAAGGAGCCATGTCATCAATCACCATAATATACATCACACAGATCCCCCTATAGGTTTCAAGGTTACAAAACATTGCCCTGTTTTCCAAAGTGCTTGTAAACCTCAAAGCATTCCTCCTCTAGACAAAATTTATAGTGAGTTAACACTCTTATGCTCTCCCACGTGCACAACTGCCTCGTTCTTTCACTGGTACCATGGGCCTTTGTGTCTGATTTCCTAACTTTATCTATGACAGAAGGCCTTGTACATGAACAGACCGCTCCAGATGGTGGCACATGGCCCTGCCAGGCCCTGTCTAGCAGTGCCCTGTATGTAATGGCTATTTTGGATAAAAGTAGGTGCCATCAGAAGGAGCTGGGTCAGGGCTGAGGGCTGAGGGGAAGGAGGTCACTCCAGGAGCAGAAAGGGGCCTCTGACAGGAAGGGCCCTGGAGAGCAGGGAGGAGGCCTTGAGATGGGGGGAGCACCAGGGCAAGAGGTCCAGGCCTGAGTGTGTCGGGTCAGGGACCCAGGAAAGGCTGAGGGGGAGCTCAGAGGCCAGGGAGATAGGATTTGGTGCCAGGAAGCCTCTTACTCGAGAATCTCCTGCAGCCTGGGGACCAGGAATTCATAATTTTCATTCAATCCATTCCAAGGCACGAATTGCTTTCCCTGGTTGTACACAAAGTTGTCCCAACAGTATTCAAATTCTAAAATCAAAGCATGGAGAAAGCAATCAGGTCCCAGCAGGCCCCTCTCCCCCTGCCCTCCCAAGGCTGGGTCAGACCTGGGCAGGCTCCCCTGGGACACTCATCCTCCTCTGGCATCCAGACCCTGGTATTTCCCATGGTGTCCCTACCACAGCCATACCGCTGACCCCCCGCTTCTCACCTATAACAGACATGATGTCCACATTGGCCCCTTCTTGATACATCCTGCGAAGTCCCCTATGCATTTCTGGGTCACGATAGTAGTAGAGGCGGGCAACGAAAATGGTCAGGCTCACATTTCTGTGTTTGGCCAGAAAATTAGCCACAAGATCTGCACAGTCAGCACAGGGACTCCAGGATAAGTACCAAGTGAATTGGCAGCAGAAGTCAGGGGGCAGATCCTGAAGCCAAGTGAAGAAGCGTACTTCTGCATGGCAAGGAGTCTTGGGAGGGCTCTGGGAGAGAAGAATGGAAGGGGGTGTTCTGGGTAGAGGGGCAGGCAGAATGCAGGGGTGGGGCAGTGGTAGGAGGGGGCAGGCCAGGAGCCCCAGGGCACCTGCTTCCTCCAGGTTCCTTCCTTCACCCCTGCCCTCTTCTGTTCTGTCCTTTAGTTCCCCTGGCCCCTTTTGTGACCCCTGCATGGGTTCTATCTGCCCTGCTCCTGGTGTCCACCTAGGAGGCATCCTGAGCACCCGCCTGCTGTCTGTTGGGCAGGACTGTGGAGCAGCACCACCCATGGGGGCCAAAGGACATGGGTGGCTGCTGAATACTTGAAATGTGGCTCTGAATTGAGAGGTGGGCACGGGCGAATGACACAGTTCATTTCAAAGAATAAAAAGGACACCAACTGTCTTGTGAGAAACTCGTGTCAACCACAGGTTGAAATAATATGCTGGAGACATGGGACAAATAAGATATAAAAATCAGTCTCGGGTGCTGCCTGTGGCTCAGTGGGTAGGGAGCCAGCCCCGGGCGAACTGCAACAAAAAAATAGCCAGGCATTGTGGCGGTGTCTGTAGTCCCAGCTACTCAGGGGGTTGAGGCAAGAGAATCGCCTAGGCCCAGGAGTTGGAGGTTGCTGCGAGCAGTGTGACACCCCACACACTCTATTGAGGGTGAGAAATCAGGGGACTTGGAAGGGCATGCCCAGCAGGAGGGCTTTCCACAGTGCTCTGTCCCTGAAGCCTGCTGGACACAAAATTCAGTTACAAGACTTTGGGAAACACACTGAGCAATGAATTCTGACCTTTTACTTATGCTCAAAATTCGTTTCTGAGGAGGCCTGTTAAATTAGGCCTGCAAATGATAATAAAATCACACTATACACAGTTTTTTATGTTTTTTTTTTTTTTTTTTTTGAGACATGGTATCACTGTTTCCCTGGGCAGAGTGCTGTGGTATCATCATAGCTCAGTAACCTTCATTTCTTGGGCTCAAGTGGTCCTCCGGCCTCAGACTTCTGGAGGCTGCCCACCATGATACAGGGTTACTTTGCCTATTTTTAGTAGAGATGGGGCCCTGCTCTTGCTCAGGCTGGTTTTGAACTCAAGATCAAGCAATCCACCTGCCTTGGCCTCTCAAAGAGCTAGAATTATAGGAGTAAGCCACCAGACCTAGCCTACACAGGGTTTGTGTTTTTGTTTTTTTTTTTGAGACACAGTCTCACTATTTCTCCCTCCATAGGGTGCCATGGTGTCACAGCTCACAGCAACCTCAAACCTTTGGGCTTAAGCAAGACCAACTTTTGGGCTCTTGCCTCAGCCACTCAAGTAGTTGGGACTACAGAAGCCTGCCACAACGCTAGGGTAAGTTTTTGTTGTAGTTATCATTGTTGTTTGGCAGGCCTGGGCTGGGTTTGAACTCTTCAGTGTATGTGGCTAACGCCTGAGCTGCATAGCTACAGGTACCAAACCATTTTGTTTTGGGGTTATTTTTTTTGAGACTGAGTATTACTTTGTTGCCCTTGGTAGAGCACCATGGTGTCACAGCTCACAGCAACCTCAAACTCTTGGGCTCAAGTATTGCTCTTATTTCAGCCTCTCCAGTAGCTGGGACTACAGGTGCCCGCCTCGGCCTTACAGAGTGTACACAGGATTTGTTAATCCTAAATAATGTTGGTTTCTTCCCAACCTGATTCTGGTATAGCATCACATGAAAGCTAGAAGACCTTCAGGTTAACCTAAGCATTCCTTTCTGCTGACTCCGGACCTTTTAGACAAGTGATTTTCAAATGGTGTGCCATGAAAAGGTTTCAGGTGTGCTGTGAAAAATTTTAAAGATCATTAATTAGATAATTTTCAAAAGAAATTCAAAACAGGCTTGGTGCCTTGAGTTCAGTGATTAGGATGCTGGCCATATACTCTGGGGATGGCGGGTTTGAATCTGGCTGCGGCCTGCTAATCAGTGAGAGCTATGACAAAAAAACAGCTGGGTGTTGTGGTGGGCGTGTGTAGTCCCAACTACTTGGGAGGCTGAGGCAAGACAATCGCTTAAGCCCAGGAATTGGAGGTTGCTGTGAGCCGTGACGTCATGGGACTCTACCGAGGATGACATAATGAGACTCTGTCTCAAAATAAAAAAAATTTCAGGCTCGGCGCCTATAGCTCAACCGGCTAAGGCGCCAGCCACGTACACCTAAGGTGGCGGGTTCGAATCCCCAGCCCGGACCCGCCAAAC